CCTTTGAGCAAGGAGGGATCTTTATCGTGCCACACCTGCTGTGACACGGGGACTCGGTTTATACGGTCTAATCCGAAGGACTGCCCCATTTAGTCGCCTTTTACGACAAGCAAGGGGTACTGAGGACCTATTCTAACCCGGATCCCCACGGGGCTGAGACAATTGAAACCGCGGATGTTACCCCCCGTTCACACATAGACGCCGCTTCTACTACGATCAAAGTGTGGTCAAAAGCGTGGCCGATCGTGACAAATCGCAGGAGGAACGTCGTGGGGTCGTCAGAAGCGTAGTATGATCGCAGTAGAGTCTTCATGATCGGAGAGCTCTACGCTCTCACCACGCTTATTTTGAACATGTTCAAAACAAGCGTAGCGGGATCGTGGCCAAAAGAATCGGGGTGAAGTCGTAAAAAGGGCGTAGTAGAAGCGCCGTAATCGTACAAGCAGCGCGGAAGCATCGTAGAGAGATCTTCATGATCGTAGAAAAAGCGCCGTGAGAGCGTAGGAACTTACAAAGCACGCTCATACAACGCTCCCTCTACGTTCGTACTACGTTCTCACTACGATCTCTCTACGTGCCTGAAGATCCTACGAAGACCTACAATGACCTTACGCCGATCATATTACGACCTATCAGACAAGAGTTTGTTCTTATTCCGCTGATATTTGACCAGTCATCATCTGTTAACTACATGTAAAGGGTGACACTATACTTGATGATCATTTACAATTGAGCATTTTCACATCTTGTTACAGTTATAATAATTGAAAATGCCAGGCGCGTAGCCAGGCGTACGTTTGTACGCAAAAACGTTCACATCATTTTCACCAAAAAAAATAAAAAGAAAAAAAAAGAAAGAAAGAGAAGAGAGGAGAACAAAGCAGGTGTAATATTGTAAAGTGTACCCACCCTTTTTGCAAAATATTAGTAATTATTTCAAAAATAAAAAAAAAAAAAATACTTGGTAATATTAAGAATTAACGATGAAAAAAATGAAAATCAACAGAATCAGTTTTGGGGGAAAATACAATATTATACACCTCACTGAAATCAAAAGATTTTCTCGGATTTTGGTTTACTATCGAATTTTGCTGAGTGTTTTTCCAAGTGTAATTACATTCTTAAAGAATTTCTCTATTGTAGATGTCACACAATAAAACCCCAGTCGGTTCCCTTAAAACAAACGATAATTTTATTTAATGCCAAAAATTTCAATCTATATTCATGGAAATTGACTTCCAATCACAATGCTTAACTTCTAAAACGGTAGCCCCCTTCCTCCCCCCCCCCCCCCAATTTAATCCTAATATCGGATTCATGCAAGGCTTCAAAAATCATAATTCAGCTTTATATCTGAACATCAAAAATCGAAAAATTGGTAAAATTCGTAAAAATAGAAATAAGGCCTATTTTAAAAGTATTGACATCTGTACACTACCTTAAAATTAGTAGTATATTTTACATGTTTTTATAATTGTTGCAAAAGGTTTAAGATACCATATTTGTGAATGTACATAGGCAACGTGCAAGAAAATGTGTTGAAAAGAATTCTTATGTCTTTGTTATTTTCAATCTTTAGAGAGTAATTCTTAATATTAATGTAAGCCTAGCTGACTATCAGTCAATGCTTACGTGGTCTGTCTACACCAGTCAACCACTCTAACCACCTACCGTATGTTACCATACGTATTTTGTCGAGCTTCAAAAGTCTAAAATTTGTTTTAGTGGGTTTGCTTTTGGACAGATCTTTTCTCATTTTTGTGTGACTGTCCACATTTTGTACAAGGAAAGAACAGACCTTAAATGTGGCTGCGTAATAAACTGAAAAAGTGCTAGAAAAATGCTTTTAGAAGGGTCAAACATGCACATCGAAATCGTCGAAAATTCACCAGCTTTCGCGGGCTTCGCCCCCTGGGCCCCAACCAGGGCTTCACCCTGGACTCTTTGGGGGCCTTATGGCGGCCCCCAAACCCCAGTCTATCCAGACGTTCATAATAAAATGTACCCTGGCTACGCCCCTGAATGCTCTAAACCATGTGGTAAAGGCCGGAAAAAAACTTCGGTCGCAAAATATGTATCATCGCTAAAATTGTACTACAAAAATCTGCAGTTTCAAGATATATTTACATCATCACCAAAATCGACGTTGCATAATAAAATGTTCCATCTGGCTACGCGTATATGGTCTTCAATGTCGTAGTGGCAGCGTAGCGTAAACACACTAAACACGGCTCTTTGTCGGCAACGGTCTGCGTAACATCGTAGTAGAAGCTTGTTAGCAGCGCGTTTGACGTAGGGACATCGTAGTACGGTCGTAACGAAGACCATAATTTGCCAAATTGCTCTATTTTGACGCCGATCGGCAAAAAAAAATTTCAGATCGTGGCTTGATCGGGATGATCGCCGTAGAGTCGCAGCTCTGTGTGAACGGGGGGTTAATACCATTTTATAAACATTAATCGGCCAGGTAAACACAAGCAAAACAAAAAAGAAATAAATCACAATTTCCGGTGTTTTCAACTGTTTATTTCTAAAATAAATGTACTCTTTTGATAACTTGTTTATAAATTAAAAACTACCGATAATTCATTAATAAATTCCTCAATGATTATTCACATTGTTTCACATTGTTAAGTTACGGAAGAATGGTAGCATAATTTCATTTCATGGTCATTTAATAAATTGTTAAGGCTTTATTTGGAGGTTGCATGGACTACTTTTTTAGCATGGTACTCTTCAAACATGCAGCTTTTCAATTACAAATCTTATATGTAACTGTAATAATAATTTTGAAATAGTGCCAATGCAAATTTTGAGTACAAATGATTTTAAATTAAATAATAAAAAGGCCTACATGTAGATATTTTTTCATAAACCTGTAGTTTATTTTTAAGGATAAAAATCTTCTCCTGGCTTCCTTTTAACAAGTTTATTAAAAGAATTATTCTAAACTACATTTGTGTAAAAATACAGTCTCTGAAAATATTATTATCACAGACTCCACATAAAAACAAAAGTGAATTTATTGTTTCCTAACTATTTATTTCTTAAGTTTGGCATTTAATGGCCACGGCTGGTTCAAATCAATTTATGCTAAATACATGTGTAGAGTGGGTGCCGACCAAATTGGTTTTTGGCACACCTCCAATAAAAGCAAACAAACAAACAAACAAACAATTAATCAATCAATATTAATTGTACACATGTTAAAGTTTTACAGGATAAGACTGACGTTTGGCTTCAAAGTTCCTGCACCTTTTTCACACATGAGTGAACAAAGCAGTCCCAGAAAGCAGTCCCATAGCGGTCCCGGAGCAGTCCCACAGCGGTCCCAAAGCAGTCCCGGGTACTGCTTTCTGGGACTGCTTTGGTGTCAGGTTGGGTCTGGTCGGTACTGTATTCATTTGAAAATAATTTAATTCTGGTTGTAACGCTGTATTTGATTGGATAAAAAATTTACTTTATATCGTATAAAACGGGTTGCCTACTTCACAATGAATTGCGTCAAAAACGTATCAATCCGCCTGACATTACATTCAAATTTTGTACAAATTAAAGTCATTTTGTTAGACCAATCATCTCTTTTTCTTACATCAAATGAATGAAAATTAAATTATAAGCAATGAATATAATAGCTACCCATTTAGCTTCGCGATTTATAAAAAAGCGTAAACTGTCCCATCCCAGTTTATACCGTATAAAATGGGTAGCTATTAAATTCATTGCTTAAAAATGATATATCTTTTTTATACATTCGCTCATCAGCTTGTCTTATGGAAGATAAGCTATGAAGAAACAAAAGTAAATTATTTTTTTATTTTAACTCAAAATGACCAGCATTTCTATCATTCGAGTACTTTGAAGATGTTTTATATATTTTCATATTGAAGAAAAATCCTATAATTTACTTCTAGAAATAAATTGATTTTAATCTAAAGCACACTCTTGTGATTTTGTCAGACTTGAAAATTCATCTCTTTATTTAAGCACTACTTTATAATTTTTGAAAATATTTCATCATGGAACGAACTTTCTTAACACCCCTTAGTGTCTGTAATTGTGCGTATTGCATTTAAAAATTGTTGATTGTCAATAGTTGCCATGGAAACAGGGGGAAACTGAAAATTAACTTTGATTTTTAAATGAAAGTACTGAAAGGACTGATACGAGTTGATGGTTTTCCAATCTTAGCTGATGGGTATTGTTTTAGTGATGAAAAAATGAAAGTCTTGTTCAGTTCGGGGCGACATACGCTATTGCTTGCAATAGCAGACTTCATAGTTTTGTTATACGATTGTTGTTTAAATGGATTTAATTTTTATTTTGAATCATCAATAATTATTTTAAGTAATGCCCTTGATGGTTTTCCATGATTTGATTTTTAAAGCTTCACCTGTAAGAATAATAATGTAAGGAAGCAATTTTTTCGACGAAACCACTGATTTTCTTTCCCTATTGCAAAATACTTTCTGTAAACATCAATCTATAGACATACAAATACGACTCTCTTTATTGTTAAATTTTCTTACACAATATGAAATATTTATTTCCTCGATACAAGAATATATAAAAATAATATGAATGTCAACATAATTGAAAAATAACGAAAACAAGGGGAATTTTCCCGCTGACCTTTTACATACAAGCATCGTTATTAGAACTTGCTCATCCTGGTCAGAATAAACGAAAAATTAAACAAACACTAGTTGCTTCCTTGCCATTGAAATAATCGTAAAAATAAACTAAAAAAACGGAATTACAAAAATGTACATATTATGTAATAGGAGCTTCCATAATTCATGTCATTATATAACTGATTTTATATTATATTTCTTGTTAACTATATGTATATTTAAAGAGATTAAATATCAATACGTCCTTAAAACCAAAAAATGTATTATTTAGTGAAATCGATACTTTACTTATATAAGATATTACACGAAGCAAAATGTGAAAGAGTAACTAAAAAAATATATAAGAAATTATACATTATTCCATGTGCAAATTTGATAACACAATCATATCATCATGGCATTTGTTACATTAATTAAATGTGGCAAAATTAACAACTTAAATGGATGGAAAGAGTGAATAATTATGTAAATTTTAAAGATTCCATAATTTTAACAACAGTATTTACATTAAATTTTTAAAATTTGAAAAGTCGAAACTTGATTATATTGATTCATGCATTATTATATAGACGCAATTTGGTTTAAGGTGGGATGTTTTGAATAAATACATTTAAATCTAAGTCGAAAGGAGCGAAAAGAAAACTAGGACTGAAATAAGTTCATATATATAACTAGACAATATTAACAAAGAAAATAAAAAAAAACAATTTGGAGAAAAAGGCGGTAGCACAATCGGTATTTTTAACAAATATATAAATAACTGTCATGGATGCAATGAAAAAATATACAATATTCAGGCCCAAAAGTCAATTAAACATTACAAAATTTGAGCAGAGTAAACACGGACCAAAACGTCAGAGGCGGGATCAGGTGACATTGAGAAGTGAACATCCCGTGCAAATCACCGAATGAAAGAAACAAGAGTATTCCTTATAGATCGGTACTTAGAGTTTACATAAACCAATCCATTCTGTATATAATCGGCCAAAACGCTGTTACAAAATTCGTATTCTTCCTATATCAAAAAAAAAAAATGAAAATAAAAAAGAATACCTGACTAGAATAAGATATATCTTAAAGATTCATAGATATTATTTTTCTTCCATTTGACATACCCAGGTGGAAATAAATTCTGGTCTTCTAATTTGAAGGAGACGCGTAATTAAGAAAATGTCGAGTTCTTTATCACGAAATAACTGTTGCACAGCATTGAACACAACAAAGAAAGGACCACAACGTTTTGCACCATCACTGTAAAACATGAAAAAAATTTATCCATCTATGAATAAAACCATTTGTTACGCAATACATTTGTCGTTATTCATAAATTATGATTTCTGAATCATTGTAGTCTTGAATGGAAAGAGAAGAAAACAACAGCAACAATTATTTACATACCTCGACAAAACCAAGAGTTTTGAGTCAGACTGGATATTTTCCACCACTGTTTGTTTTACAACATCTATCAGCACCTTGTAATTTGTAGAAGACAATTCCTCTCTCCATGAGGTAAATTCAATTACTTTCAAATTCATATCGGGGCATCCCTAAAAGATTTTAAATAAAATTTTTGTGTTCCAAAGGGCATATTAAAATATTACAGGAATAATCACGATTTAAATGCAAATTATGATGATTTTTTAATTAACCTTGCTTCTTAGCACAATGTCTGTACTTGTGAATTTTCTCGATGGAGTCGAGTCTGTAAATTCTATTTTGAATGACCCAACTCTTTTCTTTTTATAATTAAAGGGAAACCATTTCGTAGACTGAAATTAAAACTGAATATTAATTTTATTAATATATTATGATAAATAGATATTCAATCTTGCACTTGTTTTTAAGTAAGCTGCATCTTTCATAAATTGCAATGTTCGGACAATCTATATACTGTAAAATCATAAATTTTCGTGGGGTCAAATTTTCATGGTTGGAGGAAAACATGTTGATTTGTGGGGATTTGATTTCGTGGATGAAGAACTTTTTAGTGGTTGAACATATGAAAATTTACATTTCGTGGTGGGAATGAATTCGTGAGTCTCTTCATATACCTCGAAAACAACGAAAATTAAACCCCCACGAAAATAAAGATTTCACAGTATACAATATAATAAAACCAATTTTTAAAGAAAAACAAAATTGACATCGATTTGCAGATAGATAACTCGAATTTCCTTTTATATTATTGAAATGTACATTTATAATCCTAGATCTATTATACATTTCTTATATTTACCGATGCAACATCTCTGAGAGGGCACGTAAATATCACAATATGGACATTGAAGTCTTTCAACAGCCTTAAGAAATCCTCAGTGTTGTCAAGAAGTGGGTACGGTGCACTGATGAGGCAGTCGTTACTCGTGAAAGACTAAAAATGAGTAAATTCTTGAAAGCTTTGAATGAGCCAAAGAATTAATTTCTTTTAAAGATCTTTTCATTTGAAGAATGAATTTCCGATGTTATGATTTAGTGACTTTTAAAATAAAATGACCTGAAGAAGAACTGCGTTATAATACGTTTCCCTCTCCTTCGTGTATGTAAGCTGACATGCATATTTCTTCACTGTAAATAAATAATTTCTAAAATTCATGACCAACAAAAGACTATATGTTAATACAAAGGAAAGTGAAAAAGTCTAATTTATGAAGTCAACGAAAATTGAAAATGGACAATTTGCGTTTGAAATTAAAAAGTGGCATTATCTTGACCCGGAAAAAGAGAGTGTACAAGTAAGAAAACGTTGCTTCTTACGTGGTAAGACTGGAGCTGTATCATTTGCATACGTATTTTCGTGTCCAGTTAAGAAATCATTGGAGGTGTACCTTCTTCTGACTCTGATAAGTTCCTTACAATATTAATTATCACAATGAGAATATATCTTCATCTTTTTAATTTTTTTTTTGTATAAATGTATTACTATGTAGTTTTATATCTTACATAAATGTATAAAGCTTGTAATATTTTTCTGTAAATCAATTTACGAGAAATGTGTGTTTCTCTGTAGATACAGACATTCTAAATACATTTATTACTCCCTCTCTCTCTCTCTCTCTCTCTCTCTCTCTCTCTCTCTCTCTCTCTCTCTCTCTCTCTCTCTCTCTCTCTATATATATATATATATATACCTCGTATTCCCTGTAAAATGGTGATTCAGAAAGATTTCCTCTACAGTTTACATTGCTTTTCAGATGCTGTTTTAAAAACTCATTAGGTGAGTAAGATGTCGATGTTCCACTAAAGGACTCACAAAGCGCCAAATAGACAATTTTATATTGATTCTTAAAAAGAGAATAATCATAAAACTTAAGCAACTTTTTATAAATTTCAATTCACCGAATTAAAACAGTTTAAAGTTATTTCACTAGGTTCTACTATACTACATTTGTATTTTGAATAAGGAGGAGAAAGATATATTCCTTTTTTGAAGGAAGCACATTTTTGAGACTTGTCCAAGATATAACCAAACTCATCTTAGTAACACAATCACAAAAGTCCCTACCACCATTTTCTGGGAAGAAAATGTCTTTATTTGAGAAAAAAGACAACTTTTCTTATATCTTAAATTATTCATCTTTCCGGTTTATATTACTTCCTGTATTCAATTATAAGAAGATTATGGCTAATTATTTCTTTTCATAATACAGTGAAAACTCACTAATCCGACATCTGATAAATACGACAAACTGGGAATTCCGACTTATAATTTCTTCCCTATTTTAGAATTTTCCTTGTTTTTAACACTGTGCAATCCTTCATCCTGTTTATTCTGATAAAAATTAATCTCCCAGTACATGTTAAATTGGACAGGTTTCACTGTACTAGTATTTTTTTGTATTTCTCATAATGGCTCACCCATGTCTGTATCATATTTACTCGGTTTCTTCTCATTGTTTCTACATACTTTGGTACATTAATTTTCCCTGATTTTAAAACTTCTCGATAGAGGGCGTCCAAAGCAATGAAAGTCCCTGTTCGTCCAATCCCTGCGCTGATAAATATAAATAAAATATAAAAAAAACATCCATAACATGTTTCATTTTTAATGTTTGCTGGAGAGAGATAACTGCAGAACTATAGCTCTCCGATTTTTTTTTTTGACAGACCGGAGAACTGCAGTGGCACCAACTGAAACAAGAGGCCCAGGGGTCACATCGCTCACCTGAGCAATTGGCTAGGAAAAAAGCACAAATCAGATCAGAACTGAAAGTTTATTGAGGGGGGCTTGAATTTTAACCCCCAGGGGGTCATGATTTGAACAAAATAGGATCTACACTACTTGAGGATGATTCCCTATAACTTTTATTGGCCATTTGGCCCCACCCTACCCCCGCCGGTCATGATTTGAAAAAACTTGAATCTACACTACCTGGGGATGATTCCACAGGAGTTTCATCTTTCCTGTCTCAATGGTTCTTGAGAAGAAGATTTTTCCTATATATTCCTATGTAAAACTTCGATCGGCCATTTTGGCCCCACCCTACCCCGGGGATCATGATTTGAACAAACTTGAATCTACACTACCTGAGGATGATTCCACAGGAGTTTCATCTTTCCTGGCCCAGTGGTTCTTGAGAAAAAGATTTTTAAATATTTTTCCTATATATTCCTATGTAAAACTTTGGCCATTTTGGTCCCACCCTTCCCCCGCGGGTCATGATTTGAACAAACTTGAATCTACACTACCTGAGGATGATGCCACATGAGTTCCATTTTTCCTGGCCCAGTGGTTCTTGAGAAGAAGATTTTTAAAGATTTTTCCAATATATTCCTATGTAAAACTTTGATCAGCCATTTTGGCCCCACCCTACCCCTGGGGGTCATGATTTTAACAAACTTGAATCTACACTACCTGAGGATGATTCCACATGACTTTCATCTTTCCTGGCCCAGTGGTTCTTGAGAAGAAGATTTTTAAAGAGTTTTCCTATAAATATACCTATGTAAAACTTTGATCGGCCATTTTGGCCCCACCCTACCCCTGGGGGTCATGATTTGAACAAACTTGAATCTACACTACCTGAGGATGATGCCACATGAGTTTCATTTTTCCTGGCCCAGTGGTTCTTGATAAGAAGATTTTTAAAGATTTTTCCTATATATTCCTATGTAAAACTTTGATCGGCCATTTTGGCCCCACCCTACCCCTGGGGGTCATGATTTGAACAAACTTGAATCTACACTACCTGAGGATGATTCCACATGACTTTCATCTTTCCTGGCCCAGTGGTTCTTGAGAAGAAGATTTTTAAAGATTCATGCGCACTTTTTTGTGCGCAATAAATATACAGATTTTCAATGGGTGGCACTGAAGCTCTCCGGTCTGTCAATATATATTTTTCGGAGAGCTACAGTTCTGCAGCTAGGAGAGAGAGAGAGAGAGAGAGAGAGAGAGAGAGAGAGAGAGAGAGATTTCTTTATTTCATGCCTGCAGTGGACAAGAATGTAATATCCACGATAAGAGTCAGTTATTTTCATCACATGACGATGGAAAATCACAAGGTTGAGGGGTTCAGGAATATCTTGGTCTTTCCATTCTGTGTATTGACACATCATCACCATCAATTCCTTCTGGCCCTGGAATTTGAACATATTCCGTTAAAAAAAATAATCATTAAGATCAATGTTATACTGTAAACCAACTTTTATACGCGCCATCTTTTATTCGCGATTCGTCAGGTTAAATTCATTCCGCGGCGATCAATTTTCACGACAAGGAAACCAATCTTTATCAATATAAGGATAAGAAATGGTTTGCGACGAAAGATATTCGCGATTTAAAGTTGGTTGCAAATCTCGCGAATATTTCTCGTACGCGAATAAAAGTTTGTACAGTATATGCACTTTAATATTTTTTTTTTGGATTGAGGCAATCGTTAATTGTTAAACAAAAGGAATTTTTCATTCAGAAATCTCACCTTCTTTATATAAAGGCGTCTTATAGTATAATTTGCGTATACTTTTTCAGTCTTTGTGCGGATAGTAAAATGTCCAATTTTCATGGTTTCATTTGCATTTGGCCAGTACTGGGCACATTTGATCTAAACAACACAACATAATTATGTAGATTTCTTCCTCCGTAGCAAGACATTTTTAATCTAAAGAACGATCATTCATATACACCGTCTGTGGAACTATTTCACTCAGATAATTACGATGAATCATTCTTCAATAAGAATAACAACGTTTACATGTACCAACCTTTATTCCATCAGTCAGGTTTGTCAAGCACACAATTACCCTTACATACTCTTGCCAAACCATGGACCAAAAATCGTACATTGTGTTTTCCTTTGGCCCTAATAAAAAAGCATTTTGATATCCAACATCATAATAAAAAAAAAGCATTTTAATATCCAACATCATGATAAAAAAAATCGGTTTCATATCCATTCGAAATTTTGATAATTATATGTAAAGGACGTTTTTTGACATTTAAATCACCGCTTTTAAAATATACTGTATTTATAAAACTTTTAGAACATTACACACAAAACCAACATCATTGTGGAATATTTATTGAAAGCAATATTCTTTTTTAATCGGATTTTTTATCGTACGATCGAATTTTCATAAGCGTAATTTTTTTTTTGTTAAAAACATGACAGAAAGATAAAACATTACGTATATGTTTTTTCCTTGGAGATACAGGTTTACAGCACATATCAAACGCGTTGACAGAAAGACAAAGTTTCTCACACATACCTTGAGTAGCTATATATGACAGTTCTTCCTCTACGTCCTTTATATAAAATACAATGATTTTGTTTTTTTTTTTACTAAAATATAACCTCTAGAGGCTATTTTACAACATGGAAATAACAAAAAAAATGCAATAATAATTAGTACAACATAGATGTAGCAAACAGCAACTAAAAATACAATAAACACTAAAAAAATGAAATTTAAAATTATATAAAGTGGAAAAATAAAATAAAACAAGAGGCCATTCGGCCTTCTAGATCACCTGAGTATTACAAAATAACATTCCAGAAACTGAATTTGATTCCTATGTTTAACCAGAGGCCATGTAATTCGCAATTTTGAAAGAGGCACTATTACTTTTCATAACTTTACACTTCTAATAAAATGCTTACTTTGGTTACCTAATACCGAAAGGTGAATCAAACAAAGAGATTTTTTTTCATTATTATTTTATCATAAACTGTTGATCATTACCAAAGTGCAGAATTCAAAGCATCTTTTTATTTTCAGACTAAGCCTTCCCTCCTTTAGGTACCCCAGACTTAGAGGCTTGAAAATTAACCATTTTTGAAGATGCAGCTTCCTTCACCATAAATATGTACTTAGATCATTGGCAAATTACCCAGGGGCAATGAAATTAACAATTTTGAAAGAGGCAGTCTTATTCAACATAAATATACACTTGGCTAGTTTATTTAATGCCCAGAGCAGAAAATAAGGATATCAAAGAAATAATGCATTTTCACTATATGATCTATTTAGCCCCATCCTAGCACTAGAACCCCTTACTCTGGGGCCTTGAATTTTATAATTTTGAAAGAAGACTCAATGCTGATTACAATCATACCGATTAACAATTTGACTGCTTGATGTCCAGTAGTAAAGAATTAGATTTTTAAAGTTTGCATTAATTTTAGTGGTTTTGGCCCCTCCCCTACGCCAAGTGGGGTTGGGGTCAGCGACCATGAAATTTACAGTTTTTGTTCCTCTTCTCCCTTAGATGCTATATGCCAAAATTTGTTGAGATTGGTTTAGCGGTTTTAGAGTAGAACCTGGAAATGTTCAAATGTTAGCTTACTACACGTATGACGAACGACGAAGGACGAAAACGGATAGCAATAGGTCTCCTGGGTTTTACATATGTACTCAGGTGACTTAAAAAGAACCTTTTTTGAATAACAAATAACATTACCTCTATGTAGCTAGCATTGATGTAGTCAGTCCCGTCTGGTGAAAGTGATTCAAGAACGACTCGAGAGTGATCATCTGTTAAAAATGATTGATGTCAAGAGGAGTTTCGATTGGAGAGGGAGAGAGAGAGAGAGAGAGAGAGAGAGAGAGAGAGAGAGAGAGAGATAGAAAGGGGGTTGATAACAGTTTGCTTTTAAACATTGTTTTATAACTTCGATATACTTACGTGTCCCCATATCGTGAAAAAATCTTGAGAGGGACGTTAAAAAATGTACAATCAATCATGCAACCGTGATACTTACAGGGATATATAGCTTTGTATCTGTTCTTCGGAATATTTTCTGGTTTCGTGGCCTCATCGTAAGGATACAGTTTACCTTTTCTTATTTGCTATACATGTAACGAAAATAATTTGGATATTAAATTTGATATCGATTCATTTGTTAAGATTAGATTATTTTAGAAAATGCTGAACAATACATTTAAAATAATTTTTTTTTCAAAGAGGTTTTATAGAAATTAGAGTTTAATATATCAACTATATCAGCATTGGAGCTTGCATCTTTTTTGTTAAATATACTGAAATTATGATATTGAGACCTCTTTATACTAATGATCACAAAACACGTTTAATAATTAGATAACTGTTTCAAGACATCAAACATCCATATGAAAAATAAAAGAAAGAAAATCCTAAAGTGACGTAAGGGTGCATAATTTTATATCAACTGGAGGTCCTTTATTTCAAAATTATATCTATGTAATATATGTATAGAATAAAATGAGAGCAAACAAAAAGTGTTAGTAGTGATCCGTTTGTGAATTTCTACACAAATGTATATATATTTAATATGCATATTTATTCATGTGTATATACTTATATCATAAATATGTAAAGTATGTAAAATATTATTTGGGTTCATGTATATTAATAAAAATCGGTTAGTTTAAACAAAGAATACAGTATAAAAATAGTTACGTACATTTACATCACTTTTTAATTCGTATTTTGTAGCTTATGTTTTTTAAACAATCTTTCAAACACAACTGAAACAGGCTTATGTCTCTAGCTTATGTCAAGACTAAATTAAGATGCAGATAAAAAATAAAACATAGTTTAACTCTTTTACAATGCAACTGATATTACTTAAGACGGTAACATCTTTAGTCATGCATTATGTTTCAATAAAATATTATTTTAAAGGAACTATTCACAGGTGCCACATAGAAATTTATATTAGTGAAAGATTGCGTGTTTAAAGCAGAAGGGATATTTTGTATTTTTATATAATAAATGTATTTTTTTAAACTTACATATTTGATATAAAGAGATATACCTTATACTCTCTTTTGAATCCTGCATCCCCATATTTTGACATTTTACCTATAATGTCTTGCAAGTCCTTAATCGATATTGTTTTGTTTAAACGAGAAAAAGAACCTCTTTGGTCATTTGCAAAGGGGTCCACTGCACACAAAGGCGCCCAATTCCCTGCAACGTCAATACTCTCAGAGAAAATAGTACCTGCAATAGACAAGAAAACATGCAGTACAAATAAGCTCGAGGGAAAATTGTTCATGATAAATCATACAAACAAATGCATGTTTAAACGGTGGAAATATTACCTGAAAAAATGTATAAACAATTTAATAATAAAAACAGTTTTTGTGGATTGCTTAGTTTGTACCTGTATGAAATTTCGTGCATTCCCTCATAAACAAATTAAATAAGCCTTTCATAAACGCAAATTAAATATGTTTAATATATACAAGGACTGCATATGTTAGCCCTAGCACTAATTAACCATTCAAAAGTTATGGACAAGATAAAAGTTTTTAAAAATTAGGCCGATATTCAAAGTCAAAGGGTCAAAGTTCTTGTTATCAAATAAAGGATCTTGTCACAAGGATTAAATATGTGTAGTATGAAAGCCTTAGCTCGTACCCTTTAAAAGTTATGGTCAAGGTATATTTTTAAAAAGTAGGTCACACTCCAAGGTCAATGTCAAAATGTCGAAGATCTTGGTATCCAATAAAAGGTCTTGTCAAATGCATTACATGTGTAAAGTATGAAAATCCTAGCACTTAGTTTACAAAAGTTGTGTCCAAGGTTAAAGTTTTTAATAAGATTTTTAAGTTAAAGTATAAGTACTGAATTCTTAAGGTCAAGGTCAAAAGGTCAAAGTTGTTGGTGGCCAATAAAAGGTCTTGCCACAAAAAAAAATATGAATCCTGTTGTCTACTTTTCAAAAGGTATGTCCAAAGTAATGGTTTGGAATTTTTGAAGCGTGTGTCAAACTCAAAGACTAAGGTTAAAAGGTCAAATTTGGTAGTACCCGAAGAAAGGTCTTGTCACGAAGAATACATGTGAAAAATGAAAGTCAACATAGATCAAAACTTATGAGCTAAGTTTAATATTTTGCTAAGAAACAAATAGACAGACAGAAAGACAGCTGGACAGACAGAGAGACAGCAAGAAGGACGGACACGACAAAAACTATATACATTGTACCCTCGAATCTTTGATTACGGGGCATGAAAAATAAAACTGACTTAGTAAATTTTATTTATTTATATGTATAATACTTTAATGTAAACTTGTGGATAAAAGCTACATGTACATTATGTACCAACAAGTTTCACACACACTAAGCCAGATCAACATTTTATGATTCCGAAGGCTCGCGTTATGTTCAGTCATTGTGTTTAAGGGCACAAATGGTTCTCTTTCTTAGTTTACTCAAAACATAACTAATTTTACATTAAATATAACACCGCTGGTGTGATAGGTCGACAGGGGATTCTCACTCCTCCATGGCATTTGATCCCACCGCAGATGTTTCGGTGGTCCTTGTTTGCTCTGCTCCTATTTTGTATTGTTTATTGGACTTTTGAGCTTGAATACTCTTCGCTATCTCCATATATTTCATCGTCTATCATCGTTGTTACAAATAATATATTACTTAATTAAAATCGTCAATTAAGTTGAAAATATGCTTACGACGGTCTCGGATGGTACTTTTCCTTTGAGCAATTGTTTGAAGTTCTATCATTTCTTCTTGGTTAACAAGTCTGCGATGTTTCCCTGATTTACATCTCGTCCTTCACGCTCAAATATATATACATGTACAAATTTTACATTTCTTTTGTGTTCTTATTATTTCTGGATTAAAATTGAATTATATTTTAAATATACATTTTCCTTATTATTATTCAGACAGCTTTACTCTCATTTTCTTTATTTTTCAAAAACTGAATATATGTCTCCATCCATATATAATGAAAAGATCATATTGAAAAAGAACACACTGAATTAAACGATTTATTTAAACAAACCAACCGAATAAGAAGAAATGCTGTTATTAGTAATACCAGGAAAAATGACCCTGCACCAATAGAAACTTCAAGGAGAAGTGCATGTTTATCCTTTTCTGCTACAGTAACTGTAACTTTATAAATACAAAATAACGTTACTGTATGTGTGCTTCAAAGCAGTCAGGGGGCTTCAATAATTTTCAGAATTTCAAAATAGTGAAACCATTATATAATGATAAAGGTAACGACTCAAAATTCTTTGCATGCAATTAAGCTTTTCTCTTAAAACAAAAGCAGTTTTACTTATTTCACTCGTGAGAATATAAAATAATCCTGCCTTTCTCTTGAAACACATAACATATTCAACTACAAAAGATTAAATATCCTCTATTTATTGAATGCATACTATGTTTATATATCAAAAATATTTTAATAATATTGAATTGATGACTTACCACTTTACATTATTTAAGCAGAAGATATTGGACAGTTATGTCTGTTTGACAGAGATTATTGAACATTCCTTTTATATCCTGTATTATGCCATGATATAATATTTTATACTAATAAGATAATCATTCCTTTTTTCTCTACATTTCAACTCATAAGCATTACTTTGACAGGTCACCTTTATTTATTCTACATTATAATAAAAATAATACTCATCCGCAAAAATTTCAGAAAGCTATCTCTATTCACGTGACAGTGTATGCAGAAATGAACCTATTTTGATCTTATATAACATTAAGGGCAAGAAAACGGGGCAAATTCAAACTTAAATCCTCTCTTTGTCAATATCTGTCTACAAATAAATGACACAAAAATGTCTAAAACAGAGTCATGTTTTATCTTTTGCTAAAAATAAAGTTGGATAAGTAGAACTTAAATTTGGGATTTCCATTGATGCATATATACTTGAGTCTTCATAAGCAGTTTAGAAACCAATCTGGAACACGCATGCACTCTACTAAAGATTTAATAGTAAGTTACGGACTAACCATCATTTAACTAACAGACAATCTTATACCGAAGCTCGACAGTACAGCTCAACGCCCTTTTTAGCTCATATGTTTTTTCTGACAAATTAAGTTCACATTTTTATAATGCAAAATTGTGTAATGTGACAACAAAATATATTTTAAAAATTATTTATAATTTAATTTTGATCATATTCCATTACTTTAAACATAATTCACAACAATAATGGGTATGTTTTTTATATGCTCTTGGATGATATATTATGAGAGTTTTCAAATGGTTTTTCATGGTTTTTCGTCAAATGCAACCGTCTTTGTATCCGTTCATTTTAAAGGATACTTTTGTTATGCCTTCATACAGAAACAATGCAGCTCATGTAACTTCTGTACTTTCTGTACATTGATATGACACTAAGGCGCAAGATGATAAAAATATTTCTCATCTGTTCGACGACTTCTTTCAATGTAAAAAATGGCATTTTTTTCAGGTTAACTTCCTAAACTCTAGCATAATGAAAGATACCGTCCACCGCAAAATTTCAGTTTCAGACCATAAAAGTAAAAGAATTTTCTTTTCAATATTTATAATTTACTATGTTGAAAGATAAAAAGTACTTTATTATCCTATCCTTTCACATGATTTCTTTATGCAGTTTTGTCATTTTTCGGCGCTGCATTTTGACAAAACCAAAACAAGTATGGACAATTGGCAAAGTATCTAGAAAAATACTCATCTGTAAGAAATCAATTTGAACATTTTATCCAAATAGTATCAAAGAAAGTTCGATTAAATAATTTGTAAAACCTATGATAGAATCATACACATTTAACATAATACAATTTATAAACAAATTCCATTTAAGAACATAAACTTTTAAAACTTTACATAATAATTTTAGAGTATATGCACCTTTAACATGAAATATTTAAAAATATAAGGGTTATGTCTCGTACTGAAACTCGATAATTTAAAGTTTATTGCAAGAAAAATGTTACTTTAGTTTGCGCGATAAACCATGTGAGTTTAAAATGTGCGTTGAGCTGTACATTGACAGCGTCTTTTGCTATTACACATAGCAGTTTGTCCGTATGTATTGTACTACCCGTGGACTCGATTAAAAAAGACTTTGCTACGAAAACTCCCATCTCATTTGAGGACTAAAGATCTGGTGATATTTTAACATATTTTTTTTTCTGTATTCATTTAAAGTCTCTCAAGGTGTCATTACAACATCTAAATCAAACTGAACTGCTCCACGGTGTGCCGTAACGTCATCAAACGTCGCCATTTTTTTGTGTGTTGTGTTTACCAGTGGAATTTCGAATGCTTGGAAACAGCCAAAAATTAACTGAGTGTCTTGAAATCTTTGAAAAGACGACAAAATATATTGTGAAATCGAATAAGGATAATTTTTACCCCAATCTTATCTATTTTAAATTTTAATATCGATCTAATAAAACCTTGGTTTTCTGATCGTGCGCCGTAGGACCCTACCCTGTGCCCATTCAAGCATTATAAAATCTTTATTTTTGTCTATATTTTATCCAAAAATTTGATGCAATGAAATATGATTAACATTAACTGAGAATTTCAGCTTAGTGCGCTCATTATTTTTGGAGAAAAACGCCTTGTCCACGATTTTACCGGCTGGGACAGCCCACGTACATAAATTATTACCAAATAATAATTTCATTGTATGGCACCACAAATCACATCAAATATCTTGCCATGTTAATAAACACTGGCATCAAAGGCTAAATTTAAGAAAACACGATTTCTATTAAAATGCATACATTTTTGTACTTCATGGGGACAATAACAAATATCATTTTTTTTTAAAGACAGGTTCTACCACTGAGGTATATGAAATAAAAAATGTTGCACGAAAAGATTTCCATATCAAGCTTTTTATTATAATTTTGAGACTTTTTAATTTAATAATAATTTTAAAAGTTGTCCTTCCTGGCTGAAGATCGGATATTCTGGAAAGAAAATGTTGGCCATTGTTACAAAATTTGTTTGTACAAAAAAAAAAATATTAAATAAATAAATAAAATAAAAAAAATAAAAAAACCCCCACAGTAACACCGAGTGTCCTCTTTCATTTTCAATGGACATATTATTTTTTTCCTACAAATTCATGGGTTGAAATATATTTATGTGCCAAAGATATTGTATCATATTAACCGAATTACCTTTAGTCAACTTTTTAAAAACCAAGGTGTTTTTGCATAAAACATAAGTTGATTATGTAACATGTGCATTAAAGAAAAATGAAATTCACTTGATGCATATCATATAATCAGACCTTTAATTTGAGCGGTGTTTTGTTCACTTCCTTTTATGTATTCATGGTAAAATTATTTGTAAAAAGACTATGTCCTTATTTTTGTTTGTATTTAGAAAATAATCTCCCGTTAACTTTTTTGCTATGTAACAATGTGAACTGGATGATATATATGAATAATTCTACTTTCATTTACAGTCATTATCAGTAATTTTTGCAAAATTATAAATTATTTGAATTTACATACACATTATATTAAATAGTGTTTACACAGTGTTTACTACAATGTTCTCGACAATCTTTGCCATATTTCTGCACCCTGCATTCTATTGAATAAAATTCAGAAGCTTTAAGTTTTGGAAAATATCAATTAAATCAGTTAATGTCTATATGCTATGATAGCTTAAAATAAAGGAAATAATAACTAATGTTAGCATAAGTAATAGAGATAAAACTAACAATAACAATACTTTACTTTCTGTGCAGTATAAGTCTTGATATCCCCGTTCGCATCCGTTGCTGCATTTACCATCTTTATTTGAACAGGAATGATTAGAACAGGTACTGCTACAAATTTTGGAGCAGTTTGGTCCGTAACGGTCATGACTGCACGCTTAAAACAAATTTCAAGAATATTATATATTTTTCAAATTGATTTTTAAAAAATGATGATAAGATGTTTTATATTCATTAATAGTAAGCAATGTTTTTCTTTATTTTACCCTCGTTGCACTTTTCCCCAACATATCCATCTTTGCATCCTGATTCACAGATTCCAGTAATATGGTTGCACTTATTCTTATTTTGGCAATTTGTACTGCAATTTTCCGCGCATCTGTTTCCAAAATATCCCGACTCACACTCTGTATTAGAGATTGAAGGCCAGGTTCTGACAATTTCAAATTGTTTTTAACAAGAGAGAGAGAGAGAGAGAGAGAGAGAGAGAGAGAGAGAGAGAGAATACTATTTAACGTCCCTCTCGAGAATTTTTCACTCAAATGGAGACGCAGAGAGAGAGAGAGAGAGAGAGAGAGAGAGAGAGAGAGAGAGAGAGAGAGAGGAATCATGATCATAAGCTATCATTGATATGTGCGTCAAAAATTCTTTTTTCTAAACCAGTATCTTATTCATGGATAATCAATATTGATAATATAAAGCATTCTATATTAAATCGCCCCGTTTTAAATTTGCCTTTAAAACATATATATGAAGCAAACTGTTATAAGAAAATTATGTGTATAGCCGTGAATATTTTTTTTACTTGAACACAGAATCCTTATCATTGACCTACTCTGTAAAATAAATACAGAAAATAATGTGTTTATATTAATAACAATATACAGTAAAATTCGTTAAGTGTGAATACGGATATTGCGAATTAATGGATATAGCGAAGTTATCTTGGATCCCCAGCTGTGTAAATTTAATAATTTTTTTATACGGATATAAAGAATTACGATTAAAGCAAAGTAATTTCACAGATACATGTACCGACAACTTCAATATAACCGAGTTTTACTATGTATATGTATATATAAATATCAAGTTGGGTCTGTACGTGATCCTATCTTCTGTAAAGGACTTCGACCTGAAGAATTCAGGAAAGTAAGATATTAAAGACAGTTTGCTCACGTAAATATGACCTTTAAAATGTAATCAAATTAAAGGTAATGCCATGTCAATCACTAGTGATGATTTAAAACTTGTTTATTTCTTAAATGAAGAGAAATTTAGATTTAATTTTAGATTTTAAAGAAGCGAGGAAAGGAAGGGGTGTACATGTAGCAGGTTTTTCACATTTCTGTTGCTATGAATCTTTCTTTCAAAACTTAAAGATATTGATAAACTGGAATCAAATAATACTTTGACATTTTTCATGACATGTCTCCGAATATCAACCCATTGTAACCCGTTTGGTATTCAATCACCTTACTTATGTGATCACACTTATCGTTCGTGTAGCCAGGATTGCAGCCATTGACACACTTCCCGGACATTTTGTTACAATGGTATTTATGTAGACAATGTCCACTACAGTTGAACATGCAGTTTTCACCAAAAAATAAGTTTTCTCAAAACTTCAAGATATTGATAAACTGGAATCAAATAACACTATGACATTTTTCATCATTTATCTACTTACCTTGATCACACTTTTAAATCATTTGAGAATAAACTCTTTTATATGTTAACAATCAGGTAACCTTTAGTATCTACATGTATATTTTGTTTTTAAAATTCGCCTTTTCGACAATTAAATCTTGTTTTCAATCAGTCGAAAATGAGAATTTTAAGAACAGTTTCTTTTATCGAAACAAAGGATTATAGTATTGTAATATGTATTGCATAATTAATATATAAAAGGAAAAAGGTGACGAAACCCCAGATTTAAAAAAAAAGGCAAGAGAGGTCAATACCCAAGTGCCTGTGTTTAATCTTATCATAAGAAAATCAAATTGAATTCTTTTCCGTTTTTAATACATTATTTGAAATGGGGGGTATTAAATCTTATTTACATTTCAAGCAAGAAACCCTATCGTCATTAGAATGTTCCTTAATAAATATGTATAAAAGTAATTTAATCTACTCGATTACACTTATGGAATTAGGGAACATTTAACTCAAATGTGATTGGCATATTCTATGAATTTCGCGGAAGAAGCGCATGGCTCATATGGTCTTTTTAAAAGATTTTTTCTCTAAAAATCAAACTAAGGAATTTTTTGTTCAGATAAACTTCTGTAACAAGGTTTTACAAAGAAATTAATATTTTTTCTTTTATCTTAATAGCCGCCAAAACTTGGCATTAATTGATGAAAATAAATACTCCAAAGAAAAAATAAGCATTAATTAATATATTGAAAAAATACCGATATTTTGACAATCAAAATTAGATTAAGTAAGCTATTGATTCTGTTATGCAGACTAGCAATACTAAGCTTAATGTATTCAGCGAAATTATTTTTAATGATTTCTTAATATAAATATAATTATATCTTACCCTTATCACATAGAGTTCCCATCCAACCAGCAGCACATCTATTGCAATGACCTGTTACGTGATCACAGCTGGCATTGTCCTTACAATGTCCAACACAAGGCCATCCTTAAAAAAATCCTTAAAAATATGTTTGTTTGGAATTGCCGCCTGGGAGTTTTTAGACCCAGGAGGGAGGGAGGGATTTTTTTTTTTTACAAATTGAAGCTAATTAATAGAAATAAAAAAAATCGCAATGAACAGTGGTGATTGTCATTAATTTCTCTCTTTCTTTTATTTGATTAATATCATTTTTGTCTAATGTATACACAGAACGGCACTCAAGCATAAATCTTTCTTCGATGTTAGATTTGCTTATCTATTAAAAGTCAAATTTCAGCGTCAAACTTTTTACTTTATTATAAAAATCTTTTTAAAACAATTCCTTTTCAAATCTTTTTAAAACAATTTCATTAGTGTATTTCATAGCATTTCCCTTTGAAATTTAGCCCTTCATTAAGACAACCCTTACAAAGAGTGAAAACCACACACAATTTCTTAAGAATAGTTGTGATGTTTTGTGAAAAAAACGGGAGGGAGTGCTAAGTGTGTTCTAGAGTGTTCGCCATTAATCAGTTTTAACATAAGGTTTCAAAGACTTGTCATACTGACAGACAATATTTTTCCTTTTGTATTTTGGAATAAACATTTCTGACCCATGTAATTTTTTAACTGGGAACTGAACGATCATTTTTAATTTCAACATGATGGACTTATCCTATCAAGTTCAAAGGGCAATCTATTACAATAGCTCTTTCCAGGTATCGGTGTATCATTCCATTTAATATTTTATTCACCTTTTATTTTTATGATTGATTAATTGTATATTGTTTAACGTCCCTCTCGAGAATTTTTCACTTATATGGAGACGTCACCGTATGCCGGTGAAGGGCTTCAAATTTTGACCTTTACTCGGCACTCAGGGCCATTGAGCAGTGAGGGATCTTTATCGTGCCATCTGAAGGACCCCCAACTTTCACTTCAAAGTGCCGAGCGCATGGCGAAGGAACAGTTGCTACCCATTTTAACGACTAGGCCAGTCGCGGCCGAGATACGAACTTACGACCTCCCGATCACGGAGCGAGCGCTCTACCGACTGAGCTACCGTGAATGGTTTTATTTTTAGGAAGGTGCATAAATGTTCTAGTCTTCAACACTTGAATGTTTTCACATCCCCTGATCTAACTTGGTCAGACATTTGGCGGCTTTCAATTTGTCAAATCGCCACCTATTTTCCCTATATCATAAATACTATGAAGAAAGCGTTTTATTGACCGGTGTTGTTAAATTTATGTGAGCTCAAACCCGACTTTAAAAAGCTATTTCGAAGAACGAACTAACTTGTAAAAAGCGAAGAGGATAAAAAAAATATTTCCAATATTTTGCCAATAAAATTTTTTGAGCGGGGGGGGGGGGGGTGTTCAATGAGGCGGGTGGCAATTCCAAACAAACTATAATTTTATTTTGGCCCAAGATTGATTACACTCGAGTCCATACCTCCCAAATGGACACACTGTAGGTTTGCTTAGAAAGCTTAGTCTAAAGTTTTTTGTAAGAAATGAAATCTTCAAGTAGAATACACTGAATAGATAAATATATACCTTTATCACATATATCCCCGAACCATCCGGGCTTACACCCAAGACAAGTTCCGTCTAAGATGCGGCATCTTTTTTCTTGACAATTTTCTGGGCATTCAATATTGCAGTTCTGACCATACATTCCAATTTTTTCACAGCCTTATAGAATGTGAATGGAAAAATATCAATTTATGTATCTAAAATCAATGAAGCCATTTTTTTCAGTAAATATGTCCTGAAGCATTATTAAAACAAGAATTTATGTGCACCCTGTACATCTACTTCACACAACTCTGTAACTGAAAGTTGTTGGAAACCGTCCGGATAGCCATATGGATATCCTTCTAGATATTGTCCTTCAGGAAGTCTCTCATTATAGTAGATGACGTAACGTGCATGACCAATACATGTTGTATTAAAGTCCAGGGGCGGTAACTCTGGACCGTCAATATAGCAACGGTAACCTTCTTCTTTCTTTGTGGTGTTGGAGAGATAAAGGGAAAATCCAGCAAAGCGTCCATTTTGTCGTAGCTTATCTATAAAAAAAATTGCATTTACCATGTTCTACTTTTATCAATGAAATGAGTATAATAACTTGCATGTAAAGATTTACGTTACTGTTAAATAAGAACTTAGATAATACGTACATGTTCAGAGTTTAAAGGAGTGCAAACAATGACAACTGTCGTACTGAATTGCTATAGATTCACATATCGTAACCAAGGAATTTGGTTTTTAACCTCAAAGTTAGTAAGTTTGGTTTTGGATGTTCAAACGTAATAATTCTTGAAATGTGCGTGGTCCTAATTGTTTGCAGATAGTTTGTAAGGTCATGGGTCAAATTGTCATAAACTTTGAATTAAAGTTTTTATAATAATATGACTTATTTCTTTATGAAACAACCTACCTTAAATATCAATGAATGCGTTCTAAATATAGCGGTAGTCGTAATTTAAGGACTTTTGTACAGTCGCTTATTATTAGATAGTTAAATAATAAAAGAACACAAACTGCAAAAGATCTAGACATGTACCAAATATTGAGAGAAAAGGCCACATAGTACAACTCGAATGGTACAAATTTAAAATCATGTTGAAATATGTCTGAAACAGCATTAAAACAAACTCAATGTTCAAAGAAGAGGGATTTCAATATAATCATTAATTTGTGAATGGTTAACATGATTTGAATGACACTCACTTGAGATATTTCATGA